CACACTGAACTCAGAAGGGCCATTCAGGATCAGTAATAGCTGAGACGTAACTGTGGGCTAGTTTGGAGAAGAGAAAGAGCTGGACATGTTGAGTTGAGTGCTTCACAGACACTGATGTACACTTGTCAGCGGGCAGTTGACTTTGGAGATCTGGAAGTAAGGAATGTACTGGAGGATAAACTTGGGAATAGGTGGATACAAAAAAATGCTGTATTATTGTATACTGCAGAAGATTTGGTGGCAAGTTAATATGAAATTCTTTGGGTGAGTATAAAACAGAAATTATAATAATTTGCAATGAGCTGTTTTTTCCACATTGGTTTCTCAGCTGTTTTTCCCTGAAATACTATTTAAACTATGACTGTAAAAAGAAATTAATGCCTCAACCACAGTTTCTAAGAGATACACCACCTTTGGTCTATCTCCATTTTACCATCAGTCCTCTCTGCTTTGTTGCATCCTTTTTTGTTGTTGTTGTTCCAGATTACTAAAGTGAGAGATTTCGGGAGTGAATTCTTAACTGCAGGTACACTAGGGTATAGGAGTAGACACCCTGTAATTTTACTCTCTCTCTTGTTTGTCTATAGTAAAAGAGAACCTTTATGGATATATTTTATTAACTTGCCAATCCCAGATTGCCTTTCTTATCTATTTGAGAAACAAAGAGAATACAGGGAGAAATTATATTTGTATTGAATAATGACTTGGCTCAAATTCACTGTTGACAGAATTTACTTCACTGTTGCTGAGTTAGAGTGGATTACAATTGTATAAAGGTGGTTCTGCATAGAATGATCTTAAAGCCTCTTCAAAAATGAGTTTAATACACTCATGGATTAAAAGTATGCAATTCTATGAAGCCTGGTATAGAAAATACCTTCTATGCTTTCTAACAGCCACCACTGTTCACAGTCACTTCCTACTGTTTAAAGAGATTCTTTTGGTATTCATTCTCTATTTCTGCATTTTGTGCTCACGTTACCCCTAGTTGATTTTTGTTTTGTTTTGATCTCACTTTTTCATTGTGATGAGAAGTTATTGGGCCCTTTACATTTGGAAACTGTTATCAGTTTTGTTTTAAAATATGTATTATGTTGATGATTTTTCTCCCTTCTGCTTCCTTTTTCTTTTTTCATGGTGAGACATCAGCCATTCGTTGTTCTGACCTCTTGTATTAGTTCCCTAATCTTTATGTTATTTTCAGCCATTTTCCACCTCTGTCTTGTCTTGGAAAGAAAATTCAATTTTTATCTTCAAGCACCTCTGTCATGTTTTTTTGTTTGTTTGTTTCTACTGTCATATTGTCATATTTTAAGTTTCAAGAATTCCTTTTTATGTTTTGAATTCCTTTAATGGCATTTTTTACTTGTTTCCAGGATGCAGTGTCTTTTCTTAACTTTGAGGACTTTTGAGTTTTTCTTCTCCTTGTCCAGTGATTGCTTTCTTCAGGTAGTTTCTGTGGTTGGGTTGGCCATACTTTGCAGAGAAGTCTTCTGGTCTCTGGCCCCCCAGTGTGCGGGCTGGGGATGGAGTGGGAGCCAAGACTAGGTACCTCAGCCTGCACTGTTTTGAAGGGTCCTGTCACCTGCCCTTCAAAACCCAGTTCCAGAATATGGAACTCTTTAGGGAAACATTTCTAGCCTGCAGCTAGAAATTAGGAAGTGCTGATTGCCAGCTCTTCAGGGAATGGGCATGTGGAGATTGAGCTGCTCCTCCGTGAGAAGTTAGCCAGCTTCCCAGTCTTAGCTGCACCCTTGCACCACTCCCCTGCTGCCCATTTCCTGAGCCTTCACGGAAGCTTGAGAGTGTAAGTGGATTTCTCCTTGCCTGGGTCAGCTAAGACCCTGACTGCTTGGCCATCTGCTTTCTAGTATAGCTTCCAAGTTGTTTCCTTTCCCATTTTCTTCTTTCTTATAAGTTAGTTCGTGCATTTAAAACTCTGCAGTGTTTCAGAAGAATTTTAGGAAGGAGTGAAAGTACACAACTACATTAATTTCACGTTTTTTCTCTTAGTGTTTTAGAAACTGTAAGCAAACATTAGGATAAGTATAACTTTCTTTTATTTTTGTAGTTTTAACTGGTGCTTAAATAGTTGAATTTATTAAGAGTATCATTTACTAAGTGTAGTTTTCATTCTTAGGCCTTTCTAAAATATTTTGGATTATAAATGTTCCTGAGTTGTCCTTGTATTAGTATCTGTATACATTAATAATATATACATACATATGCTTTTTTAGTGTCTCTGTCTCCTACTTGTAGCACTATGTCAGTCCTAGGTTTTGATTGATTTTTCTTCCTATATGTTTCCTTTTTCTCTTCCTTTGCCTGTTAATTTCTGATAAGATGCCAGATAGTATGAATTTTAGGGTTTCCCACGTGGCTCATTGGTAAAGAATTTACCTGCCAATGCAGGAGCCACAGGAGATGCAGTTTCAATCTCTGGGTCAGGAAGATCCCCTGGAGAAGGAAATAGCAATCCACCCCAGTGTCCTTGCCTGGAGAATCCCACGGACAGAGGAGCCCGGTGGGCTACAGTCGATGAAGTCACAGAGAATTGGACACAACTAAGTGACTCAGCGCACACCGTGTGAATTTTACTTTGTTGGGTGGATATTCCATATTCCTATAAGTTATTCTTGGGCTTTGTTCTGCGACTTAGTTAAATTGGAAACAGTGTGATCCTTTTAGGTCTTGCTTTGAAGATTTACTTAGGCACTCCTGGCATGGTACTGCCCAGGCTGCTGACTATTCTCCACTCCTGAGGCAAGCCCTCTGTGTACCTGTCCCAGTGTCTTGTGTATCATAAAGTTTTCTACCTTGAATCGTTGGATTGTTTCTTTCTCTGGCCACTGGTATCTCCTCCCAAATATGCTGAGCAGTGTTCAGTTGAATACTTGTGCAGATCTCCACTTTCGAAGTGAAGTGAAATGAAAGTCGCTCAGTCATGTCTGACTCTTTGCAACCCCAGGACTTTTAGCCTGCCAGGCTCCTCTGTCTGTGGAATTCTCCAGGCCCAGTATACTGGAGTGGGTAGCTATTCCCTTCTTCAGGGCATCTACCCAACCCAAGAATGGAAGCCAGGTCTCCCACATTGCAGGCAGACTCTTTACCGTCTGTGTCACTAGGGAGACCCTCCACTCTCTCTGTGCAGCTCTTTTTTCCAGCACTGGGTTAGGTGAGCTCTGGCTGCTGTGCCCTCCCGAGTCTCGAAGGTTAGTCTTCTCCACTCAGAGGGGCGGCCTGGCACCCTTCCCAGGGCTGCAGTCTTGAGCTTCCCAGGCCAGGAAGCCTGGACGATCGTGGGTCTTCCTGCATTGGCTTCCCATCCTCAGCCTCACTGTTCTCTTCCTCTTTGGTTGTTTTTAGGTACGAGAGTGAATCTTGTGGATGTTACTTTTTCTTGGCCCAAAGCAGACATTCCTTATTTGTATGGATGTGGAGATACTTTTAGGTTCATTAAAACATAAACACACAGAACTTTATCACTTCTATAAAAAGTGATCACTTCTATAAAAACCTCTATAAAAAGTTTTAAGTTTTTATAGAAAAAATTGATCAGATATAAATTTCAATGAGACAATATTGTCAGTGTTTCTCAACATAAAAATAAAAATCTGGATTTTAAAATTGCTTTTTGTTGTTACAGTAGAGATATGTCTACATGCTTTATACTTGGCATACAGATAACCGTGAGGTTCCCAGTTCCTTGACTCATCATCAAAAGGAATGTAGCATGATCTAATATTGATAAAGACAAATATTTTAAGCTCGAAGGTTGCATGGTGTCTGACAGACATCAACTACTGCTCTTTCCCTTGAAGCTTCAGTACCTGGTGAGCGTGCTGTGCACTCTCTGAGTTCACTCCTTGGGGGCACATAGGTGGCAGACCACAGGCTGCTGTGCTTTGTTTGGTTTCCCAGTTCCCCTCACAACACTTGGGTGCGTTTTCACACTTAATGATATTAGTAGAAAATACAGAGAAGCGTAAACTTTAAGAACTCATTTCTATCCGTATTGTCTGAGTTCCATATATTTCCTTTCCCTGGCATGGCCTCTGCAAACATGTGAGCTGTGGTTGAAAACTGGGTTTTTTTTTTTTTGTTGTTTCGTTGTTTTTAATACAAGTTTATTTTTCTTTGATTGGAAGAATTCAGTAAATAGTATTCACAATTCAGTAAATAGAATACCTAAAGATGAAAGTTCAAAAAAAAGGTATTGTTCATTGTTTATATGTGGTACCTTGCACTGAACCATATGCATTTATTTATAGCATTTTGATATTCGTGTTTATGTTGTTTTTAATTATTAAAATTATATTTATGAAATACTTATAAATATATTTGTATATTATCTCTAAAGCTTAAAGCAAGAAGCAATTCTGAAATGATTATATTTTAGGTGAAAGGGTAGTATGGCCAATCCTTCCGGTAGCTTGACAGTGTTTTCCACCTGGGGATCACTGGGTCATTTGAAGACACCAGGGAAATGAAATGTAGATGTTCTCTGCTAAAACTGGTGTTTATGATGGTATGGTTAGAAAGGGACTGTACAGTTCACCATTGTTAAAGGAAGGTCTCATAGAACTACAGTTAAAATGATAGTTACATTTATTCCTTGTTGTGATTATTTTTATAATGAAATGGTTTCATCATCACTACTAAAACAAATGGCATTTTGTCTACACAATAATATCTGTTGGCAAAATGCTTTTCCTATTCTTGAATTTAGCCAATGTTACTAAAAGCAGTTGCAACAAAATGGGAAAACCGCTGAATTTGAGAATGAAAATGTTGATTCAGTTCCTAAATTTGGCAGGTTACTAGCCACATGGCCTTGACAGGTGTCTTGCTTAAATTCACCTCAGTGACCTTTTATTCACTCATAGCGAAACAGTGCAAGCATAGCTTAGTGATTGCAGCAGGTCATTATTATGGATAGGAAGGTGTGCTGTGTCTTTGAAAGGAAAAACCTGTAATAGTGTGCTTTGTAAATTTTTTAGGAGGAGCAAAATCGAGGCAAGCCTAATTGGGAGCATCTCAATGAAGATTTACATGTACTGATCACTGTGGAAGACGCTCAAAACAGAGCAGAGATCAAACTGAAGAGAGCCGTTGAGGAAGTGAAGAAGTTACTGGTACCTGCAGTAAGTAGCAATTTCCAGATCTTAGATTTAGGCCCAAGATCTGTTTCGGTTAATATTTTAATTAGTATGGTATCTGCAGTAAGTAACAATTTCCAAATCTTAGATTTAGGCCCAAGGTCTTTTTCAGTTAATTTTTTAATTAGTATAATGTTAATGAAGAATAGGTTATTATTTGTTCAAAATTTTATTTAAGCAAAAAATATTAAAATAGTTTATAAATCATTTGCTATAGAATAAGAGGCACACACTGCTGCATTTCTTAAATGGGAAAGTTTGCTCCCTGTTTATTTTTTTGTGAAGGAAATGCGAGGGGAGCAAACCGAATCAGTGGCCTCTTTTTCAAAAGTGTGGTTACCTTTGCATCATTGTTACAGGGTAAAAATGTAGGTCCATCATTAAGTAGGGTTGGTGAAAGCTTTGTCTCTCTTTTAGATCAGTTTCTCACTGCAAACAAGTGATGAGTGTACTCAAAGTCTGTACGAGTTAATACTTCTGTTGGGTGATCTGTTTTAGTAGGAGTGCATTATTTGTGTTGCCTGTGGATTCCATGGGCTTCCCAGGTGGCATAGTGGTAAAGAACTGACTTATCAATGCAGGAGACACAAGAGACCCAGATTCCATCCCTGGGTCAGGTCAGGAAGATCCCCAGAGTAGGAAATGGCAACCCACTCCAGTGTTCTTGCCTGAAAAATTCCAGTATCCTTGTATCTATATTCCTTGTGACTTGATTCTAATTTTTCTAATTTTGATGATTTGAATGTGTTTCTGTCAGTTTACATAACACCACACATAACTTACTGTTCAGAGTTCAAACCTTTTAAATTCAAATTGGGGGTTCAGAACAACCTTACAGTAAGCTCCTTCCCACCACCCAATCCACCCCCTACCCCCTTCTCCCAGCAAGCACAGGAACTCAGACAAGCCTTAGCATTTTCTAATTTCACTGCAAAAGTATTGTAATAGGGGTTTTGAGATGATCACACTTCATCTGTAGAGTTGTAGTACTTTACCTGACAAACTTGTTTACCTTGGATAATACCGTTGTTTTTATTTCAAATGTTTCTTTGATTTCAATAATATTTTAGTCTCTTTTGTTTCTTCAATCACAAAATAAACCTTGTGTAACTAGAGAAAAGTCATTTCTTTAGTTACATGTAGTGTAACCAGCCTGGCAAGTCTTCGTGTGTTACTATGAAGTATCTACTGAAGATGTTCTTTTTATCATAGGTACAGTTAATTAGTTTCAGTCTCATTTCCATAAATCTGAACTATACCTCCTTTAGATTCTTGAGATCTTCAGTATACTTTTATAAATACAGTGTAACATTTTGTGGAAATCAAATCATCTTCATTGACAGATAAGGACTATTGAGCAGTGCCCTGATTTTGCTTGTCTTTGGGGACTTAGGTCATCCTTGGCAGAAAAGGACTGCTGATGTAAATCTGCCTCCAGTGTATTTCTTGAAGATGTATTCTTGCCAACCCAGTTAAAATAATCTCTCTTTTCACTTTTAGTCTTAACCCACTCAATTCATTCTCAGAAATTAGTAAGAATGATTTTATTTGTTTCAGTAAACTGTATAAAGATAATCAATGACTGGACACGTCACTCCTCTGGAAGCAGGGTAACCAGTGAGTTACCTTCTCTGAAATTCCTTGTTGTACACTGAAGAAGTGGCTCTTAATTGTAAACAAAGTATAGGTAGTTGTGAAAGCTTTAAAAGTCAGAGAAGGAAAATGTTTGTGAAATAATTAATTTTAGGATTTTACTGAGTATATAGGTAGAACATTAAGCAGAGGTTTTATAGGAGGATATAATGATAGCCTTCTTATTTTAAGTGCCTCCTGTAAGAAAATTAGTCACTTGAAATTGTTAGGAACTTGTGATTCGTATTTGTGATTTGTGTTTTTATGTAGCTGCTTAGTTCTAAAAATTAGTTGGGTAAAGAAAAACTATAGTTTTTATGATTCTTACAGAGTTTTACAATGTAGATGATTAATTTTAGCGAAATAGTTAAGATAGGACATTGTTATCATTTTTGTTATTAGGCCATGTTGCAGTGTGCTACTGTATGCTTTAAATTTTTGTTTCTTTAAGCTTCTATGATAAAGTTACTAATTTAACCCTTTGATAAAATGCTATTTTGTAATTAGACAAATGGTATTTTAATAGATTGATTACTAATTTTATATATGTAAAACTTAGTCTTTTAGATATGTGTGTTGAACTGCCTTAAACAGTTTAAACTGAGAAAACTCCTCAGATGACATTTTAGTGCTTGTTTTTTTATTCACATAATAATTCTCACACTTTTCCTGTGAGCCTTTCAGAATAATCGAGGCTATTAAATTTCTTGGCTGAACTTACAGTTTTGCCTAGCATTTACCTAATGTGCTTACAAATACACAGTATTTTGGGAAATTATGATCTCTTGTCTTTATATGTTCAAATCACTTTAACATAGATTTGATCCTTACAGAGAGCTTGTATATTAATTTACTCATTTTCTGTCATCAGATGTTTTCATTTCCTTTATTCTCACTGCACTGATACTGTAATGTGCTGTAAATTTCCATTTCTCCCATTCAAGTAGTAACCAGGCCCAACCCTGCTTAGCCTCTGAGATCAGACAAAATTGGGTGCGTTCAGGGTAGTAAGGCCCTAGACTAAATTTCCATTTCTTTTTGCCTTTTTTAACAGAATATCTAAACCTACTTTTAATTAAATTTGGTCTTAATATCCTCATGCGTATATTATGACAACTGATTAATTATTGTTCAGAGCCTTGTCAACCATTTTAAGAACTTTGGCTTTTAGTCTAGAGTGGGTGGGCTTCCCTGGTGGCTTAGATGGTAAAGAATCTGCCTGCAGTGCTGGAAACCTGGGTTGGGAAGATCCCCTGGAGGAAGGCATGGCAACCCACTCGAGTCTCCTTGGCTGGAGACTCCCATGGACAGAGGAGCCTGGTGGGCTACAGTCCATAGAGTTGCAAAGAGTCAGACACGACTGAGCATCTAAGCACTAGAATGGGTGAAACCATCGAGTGCTTACAGAGAAGGGGGTGACATGATCTGATTAATGTTCAGTAAGGGTTACTGGTCTGCTCTGTTTAAAACAAAACAAACCACACAAGGTGAAAGAAAGGAAGCTTTCATAGGAGTTCACAAATTAAGGCCCGGAGGCCAAAACCAGTGTTTAACTAGCCCATGAGCTTAGCGTGGTTTTTACATGTTTTGATGACCAGCGGGAAAAAATCAGAAGAATAATATTTGAAGAAGAATAATACTGCATGAAATGTGAAAATTATATGAAATTCAACTTGCGTTGTCTGACAGGTTCTACTGAAGCACAGCCATGCTTATGCCTCTTCGTGCCCATACCGTCCGGCTGCTTCTGAGCTCCAGTGGCGAGTTGAGTAACTGCCATGGAGACCAGATGCCCAGGAAAGCCATGTACTGTCTGGTTTATTACAGAAAAAGTTTGCCAATTCCTGGACTCTTGCATTAATTCAGATGAGAGGTGATGATGGGTTGGGTCAGTGTAACCACAGAAGTGAGTCATGGCCTCATTTCTAAGCATATTTTTAAAGTGAAACTGGCAGGATTTGCTAATGGATCATCTATGGGAGAAGGCAGTGGCACCCGACTCCAGTACTCTCGCCTGGAAAATCCCATGGACGGAGGAGCCTGGTGGGCTGCAGTCCATGGGGTCGCTAAGAGTCGCACACGACTGAGTGACTTCACTTTCACTTTCCACTTTCCCGCATTGGAGAAGGAAATGGCAACCCACTCCAGGGTTCTTGCCTGGAGAATCCCAGGGACGGGGGAGCCTGGTGGGCTGCCGTCTATGGGGTCACACAGAGTCGGACACGACTGAAGCGACTTAGCAGCAGCAGCATCTTATGGGATGTTAGAAACCAAGGTGTCAGGGATGATAACAAGATTTTTAGCCTGAACAACCGGAAGGATATAATTGCTGATACTCTGATGAAGGGAGTGTTAGGAATAGACTTTGAAGAGATTACTTGGAACTCAGTTTTGAATCTGGTAAATTTAAGATGCCAGTAGCTATCCAAGTGTAGCTCTTCTAGTATTCTGTTCAGATTAACAAATATTTATTCCAGGTTGACTGTATTTTGGAGCACTAGGGGTATAGAAAGTTACTTACAGCAAGATGTTTAGTGTTTAGGACAGTGGCAGTTCCCTAACTATATTTCATAAGATACTTTTCATAGGTATTCTGGATAAAAGAAAGCCTTAAATGTAAGTATTGTGATTCTCTGGTAGAAACCATTTTCCAGATTTAATTGACCATCAAAATTTTTTTCTGAGAGTATATTCACCATCTAGTATTCTAGAGATATCTGTTCGAGGATTAATATGTAAACTCATGTGTCTGATTTAAATACATAAGAGCAGTCTTGTTAACTCTGAAGCATAGTCATTTTGAAGACATGAAAAAAAGGCTCTTCTTCAGGAACTTTTTCTTTTTTTACACAAATAAAAACTCATTAATTTTAAATGTACAGTTTGACCCTTGACAACTGTATATATTTATAACCACTACTACAGTCAAGGTTTCCATTACCCCAAAAAGTTTTCTCTTAGCCCTTTTGCCATCAATTCAGATTAACAAATTACCATCACAATCAAGTTAGCTTCCATCATCTCATATAGTCATTGTTTTTTTGTGTATGATCCACTCTTAGCAAATATCAGGTGTTCAGTGTATTAATTAAATGTAACCACTATCAGTTAAATTCAGTTCACTCAGTCATGTCCGACTCTTTGCGACCCCATGAATCGCAGCATGCCAGACCTCCCTGTCCATCACCAACTCCCGGAGTTTACCCAAACCCATGTCCATTGAGTCAGTGATGCCATCCAGCCATCGTACCCTTCTCCTCCTGCCCCCAGTCCCTCCCAGCATCAGTGTCTGTTCCAGTGAGTCAGCTCTTCCTATCAGGTGGGCAAAGTATTGGAGTTTCAGCTTTAGCATC